AGCAAGATGACTAAGGTGAACCTGGGGGAGCTCCTCTTCCTGAGAGAAGGACGTGGACTCACAGCTAGCAATAGAAGTGGGATTCTGGCCTCCCACACCCAGGGCCACACACCATTTCAGCTGCCAAACCATGTGGGGCTTGAAATGAGAACAGGTAAGGGTGGTACCTGGGAACTGCAAAGAGCAGGCAGAAGGTAAATGGCGGGCCTGCCACGGGGAGTGAGCACACTCTTGCTGGCTTGCTGAGAGTGACCTCCAGCATCACAGTATGGCAGCTCCCACCGAGGACCTCCCTCCTTCCCTAAGCCTGGCCCTGCAACGGAAACGGAACATACACTGTGCACTTCCATGCTGACTATTTTGGATGAAGGCCTTAAAGAATAAATGATGGATGGTGCAGTGGCACACACCGGTAATCCCAGCAGCTGGGGAGGCTGAGGCAGGAGGATCTCAAGATCAAACCCAGCCTCAGCAATTTAGCTTATAAGACCCTGTCTCTAAATAAATATACAAAGGGTTGGGGATATGGCTTAGTGGTTAAGCATCCCTGGGTTCAATCTCCTGTACCAAAATAAAATAAAATAAATGATGCCTTTCTGGTTTTCTTAAAAAGAGAATCCTGAGCAGAATTTAAACTCTGGAGGGCAATTCTTCATTCACTTCTGGGCTGGTGATGTCCTTGGGTCTCATTCATAAGGCTCTTTCCTGCTGCACCAAGTAGCCCCGATCTCCTAGACTTCGGAATTCATCAGCTGGATTTAACGTTTATTCTTTTATTTCTCTCTAATGTTTTTCTGTGAAACTGTATTACTATATAGTGATATAGTAACATTATATAGTCCCTCTGAACTGCTTCTAATATTCATGGACAGGGAATGCGAAGATTAATCTTGTAAGAATTGTTCGTGAAGTAGGGGCCAGCAGACTTGGAGTGGGGAAGGCCTGGGAGCTCTCCTCTGCATGATCAATTTAGGACTGTTCAGAAGTCTTCTATGTTTTCCTGCAAGTCTTTTGATGTGGTCCAGCCTAGACAAGTTGACCTCTAGCAAGAGGGTGACAGCACACACAATCTGTGCATAGGATCTTTGCCAAGGGCAGTAAGCCAGAAGGAAATAATATCTATACTAAGATCATTTGAGTTCAAAGTGACCAAATACATATATATATCTCCTCTCTCTCTCTCTCTCTCTCTCTCTCTCTCTCTCTCTCTCTCTCTCTCGCATAGCAATGAAAGATGAAGCCAAAACACAGACTTACTCAGTTTTTCACTTTCATATTTCCACATTCCAAAAAGTTGTCTGAGCACAAATAGTCAAATAATGACATTTTTAAGTTGGAAAGAACTTTCAAAGTCCTTTAGTTTTTCTCCCTGTTTTTGTTCAGGAATCTTTTCTATTACCTCCAAAACAAATGAGTCCTGTATCGGTGTTTCTGGAAGTCTGATTTCATTAATGAAGTGAAATTCCTGACAGGAAGTAACAGGACAACACCCCTGCCATGTTTGATCTGCATTTCATGGGCAAATGTTAGGTTGCTTGTAATTTATTTATTTATTTATTTATTTTGGCACTAGGGATTTAACTCAGGGGTGCTTTACCACTGAGCCACATCCTGAGTCCTTTTTATTTTTTATTTTGAGATGGGTTCTTGCTAAATTGCTTATGACCTGGCCAAGTTGCTGAGGCTGTCCTTGAACCTGAGATCCTCTTGCTTTAGCCTCCCAGGTCACCACACCCAGATTCTTATAGCATTTTTATGTGGAGTTATGGGATGAGAGCCCACCTGTGTGAATGGGAAGGGATCTTTCCTGTATGGGGGAACATTGCTGATGTCAATCATCTTGGAAACAGCAGGTCCTGAGATGGAAAGTTGCAAGGCTGGGTTAGCTGGCCAGATAGGGAATGCCAGCTTTGCCGAGCCTTCCTTTGAGGCCTCAGTGTGAGACTACTAAGGGTATCAGCTTTGAGAGACTACCAGGGTCAGGGTAGGACTGATGGACTTTGTCACAGAGGATGAAGGGAGTAAGTACTCTGAAGGAAACACAAAGAGAAGACGCGTAGCCAATCTTGAAAGAGATATGACCTGGATTCACATTACACTTTGTGTTTATTTCTGCTTTGTTGTCCTTGAAACTTTGGAAACGTCTGGTTTAAATGTTCCAGCCTGGCCCAATGGTGTAACGGCATCTAAGAAAGAGCTGACGGTCAGTGCTTATTTCCCTAGAGCACCAGAGGGTGAATGCTGCCCTCTGAGGCTGCTGTGGATTTGGGGTGATTACTAAGAAACTCCTAAAAGAAATGTAAACTTTGAAGAACAGGAGTCAGCCCCAGAGGCCCGCCCACTCCTCTCCACGTGGTGGTTTACCCATTACTGCCATCCTTTTATTAAGCAGATTGCCAGAGTTTCTATAAAAGTGATCCCTTAAATTGGCCTGAATCTGTCTCCTAGTAACTTTCACCCACAGGACTTAGCCCTTCCTCTCAAAAGCACAGARAAAAATCATAACCACTCACATCCGTGGAGAACTTACTATAGCTGGGGACACCTTATTGAGAATTGTGCTGTGCCTCATTTATATCATTATCCCACTTTACAGACAAAGAAATTGAGACCCAGGGAGGCATGATGACTTGCCAAGGGCAGATCCCATGAAAATGACAGGATTTAAGCTGAAACTGTCTGATGTCAGAGCCTACAGTCTTGAACTCTGAAATACTTCCTTTCTTGTCCCTGTGACATCTCCACAGAGATCGCAGCCTCCAATCTCATCCCCAGGCCCTTTTGGGGGTCAAGCTAAATCCCCACCCCACCCCCTCACCATTTTTCTTTGGGCATGGAGCAAGGCCAAGGCATCCCTGACCAGTTAGTTCCTCCTGACCAAGGTCTGGGATAACATAAGGAATGCAAAGCACAGGTCCCCTGACCTCCAGTGACTTGCCCCACTTTGACACCCAGGACAGCTTCTGCTGAAGCCTCCGGAAGCACCATTTTAGCAACCTTCCCCTCAGGAGGCTGTGCTTTTCCTGTCTGTCCTCCACATTTCTTCTGCCAGAACAACAGGCTCAGTTTTCCCTTCTGATAAATCTGGTCACCCTAAATATGGGGCTTTAAGCAAACAGGAGTGGCTGGCCCCACGCAGCCCTCATTTCGAAATGGAGATTCACAACGGGCTCCTCTTTGCTATTTTTGAGGTCTGGTTTCTTTCTCCACACACAGTGGTTTTAAGTGAGAGGGAAGGATCTTGGCAGGGGAAAGGTGCTAGGAGAGTGAATGCACCTGGGCAGGTCTTGTTTCCCAAAATTCCCAAGACACTGATCTCTTAAGAAGCTCTGGAAAAAAGCGGGTCTTTGGTCACATGATGTCGGGAAATTCAGTGTTACCCACACACTCCTGGAGCTCAGCAGTGTGCATGTTAAACTTTGAAGTCCTGGGAATAAAGAAACCTAATGATTTTTGTTTAACCTGGTTTTCTATTTAAAAATGCAGCATAGTAAAAATCTGAATATGGATGATGCAGAGCTGAGGTAGCAAATGTCCCTAAGGCTTGATATATTGCTCAGATAAGTTCGATTTGGCACACACAATGCTTAAATTTTGCTTTAAATTAGTTACTAGCACTTAATACTTTGAATATTCTCATATTAATCCAGATTTGGGTGTTCTTTTTGAAAAAATTAGAGCATCTGGAGACACTGGTCCACATTTTTGGGTGACAACCAGTGAACAGCTCGAAACAAGGGTGTAGTCTCTGAGTCATTGAAGCCCCAGGGCTTCCCTAGGCATGCAGCTGCCTCTGTCTTTGCACCCATGACTACTTGGCTGTAGTCAACAAGCTTTTGTGTGAAGTTTTCCTTGGCGGGAGTTGGCCTGGGTGACCCCAGAAGCCTATGCATCCCTCCATTCATGCAACAGATACTGATTGTACTGTCACTGTGTGCCTGACCCTGTGGATATAAGGCATATGTATACAACAGCCCCACCCTCCTAAGAGTCTAGCTGGGAACTGCAGAATGAGGAAGGGGAAGGGTAGAGGAGAGAAAAGCTGGCAAGGCCCCAACTTGCCAAAGTACTGGCTCACAGAAGTGAACTGATCTCAGGCAGCCACTATGGAACCCCAGAGAAGAAGCCACTAGCTTGCTCTGATTTAGGAGAGATCCCGGTTCCCAACTCATCTCAAGGCCTCAGTTTCTGCATCTGTAGAATGACTCCATTGGCCTAGAGAGTGGTGCGCATCCCTTCTAGGGTTGGCACTTAGAGATGCTAAGACTTCGTGATGAAGGAATGTCTGACTGGGCCATTCCGGAATTGTTCCACCGAATTCCAAGCAGCCCCCCTCCCGCCTTTTCCCAGTCCCATCCAGGGGCGGGCGCTGGAACAGGCCGGCTGAGCGGGCCTGGGCTCCCAGCCCGGGGGCGGAGCTGTCGCTCTAGCGTCCCGCCTCTCCACCTGGGGCTCGGCCCGGCAGATGTTACAACTTTTTCACGTTCACTCCCGCGGTGTCCCCCCCAGGCCCGCCCACCCCGTGTCTCCCTCCCTTTCCCCGCCAGGGTCCTGCCCACCGCCCTGCAGGGAGCCGGACTGTTCTGAGGACTCCGGGAGGGGCCAAGAGGCCGCCCCGGGCTGGAGGGTCGGGGGGAGGAGGAAGGGAAAGCAAAGGCAAGAGAAATTAGGAGGCGGGAGAAAACCGGGGTAAAAAGGAAGAGGAGAGTCAGAGGATGGTGGAGAGTACTTTTTGGAAGCCGTTCCGCCGCGTCTCGGGCTGGCCGGGCTGAGCTGGGGGAGAGGGATCGAGAGCGGCGCGGGGCGGGAGATCGATCGGGCGGCGGGAGGCGGCTCTGCGCGGCCCTGACCTTCCCGGAGCGCCCCACTGCGGCCGCGCAGGTCCGACTCCGCCGTCGGGCTGCCGGTCCGGGATAAGACACTGGGCCACCCCCGGGGGCGCTGAGCGCTCTGTCAGCACCCAAGCCGGCGGGCGGGCCGTGCGCCCTGGGCGCGCGAGGCAGTGAGGCCCGGGAGCCCTTCGCGCAGGGACCCGCCGGCCGACTTGGCGATGCACGCCCTCACCGGCTTCTCTCTGGTCAGCCTGCTCAGCTTCGGCTACCTGTCCTGGGACTGGGCCAAGCCGAGCCTCGTGGCTGACGGGCCCGGGGAGGCGGGCGAACAGCCCTCGGCCGCTCCACCGCAGCCTCCCCATATCATCTTCATTCTCACCGACGACCAGGGTTATCACGACGTGGGTTACCATGGCTCAGATATTGAGACCCCTACACTGGACCGGCTGGCAGCCGAGGGCGTCAAGTTGGAGAATTATTACATCCAGCCTATCTGCACACCTTCTCGGAGTCAGCTTCTCACTGGCAGGTAGGCATGGCCCGGACCCTTGAGGCTGGGCATCCAAGCCCCCCAGTACACACTCAATATATTTTCCCTGTTGGAACAACCCTTTCTGGGACCCGGGAAACCCGTACTATGGGCTAGTTTTGCTTCTAGTTTTGCTTCTAGTTGCTTCTAGTTGTGGGATGGTTGGCAAGTCCTTGCCCTCTCTGGGCCTCAATTTCCCTCCCCTTACACTGACTAGATTTGTTAATCTTTGAGATCTCACTCTGGTGTTCTAGGACATGCACATTCACACCATGTGGAGAAGACATCTGGTCATCCCTTTGTTAGAGGAACATGGCAGCCTCTGACACTTATTTGGAATGCTGCTTCTATTCACAGACTCTGAGCCTCTGTGCAGGTCACTTAACTTCTCTAAGCCTCAGTTTTCTTGTCTATGCAATGGGTCAAAGAGCAGTTTTTATCTTGAAAGGGAGCAGTGAGTATGGAATGAGTTGTATATGACCTGTTTGGATATCCATAAGTGGCAGCCTTGGTGTCACCAGAAGGATTTGGGTCCCTGCACTACCTCTCTGTAGTTAGATGACTACATTGGGAGAACACTAAGGAATTGATAGGTGGAAAAGAAAGACACCTAGGATGCTGAGACCCATGTAGCCTGGGGCTGGTTACTTCACTTCACCAAGTCTCTGTTCTTCCATCTGCAAGATCCTCCCAAGTTGCAAGTTGGCTGGGAGCCCCAAGGAGATGTGTTGCTCTCTCTGTAAGGAGTCATCCCCAGGCAGGCAGCAGGATTACAGGATTAAAAGAGCAGGGAAACAGGAGGTGGGGGTGTGGAAGGCAAACTCTGGCCACTTAGGAGAAAATCCTCTGGCTGGGCTGAAGTTAATCCCCCTTGGAAGGGGGCCAAGGCACACTTTCTCTCAAGTTCTACCCCAGAGTCCTGTGTGTGATCTCAGGAGCCAGAGCCTTAGTCTTCTTTCACCTGGATGGGAGACACTGAGGCATGAAGTCAGGGACAGCTCAGCCTGGTACCTGTGCTCATGTTGGGGTCTCGTGGAAGAGGGCTGCGAGAAGAGCCCTTTCTTTCWACTATTTGGCACTCAGCGGTTAGGTCCAGATACAGAGGGAGAAGAGAAGGAGGAGGAAGAGAGGTGAGGTGTGCATGAGTTAAGGGGGGGGGGTGCATAGGAATGCCAGACATCACTAACCCCCTGAGGAGGAAGGGGGAATCCGCTTTCCAGAAGAGTTGTGCACAGGTTAGCATTTCTCTCTCTGGAGAGCAGAGACTTTAGGTTTAAGCAGCATTGGAATGAGCAGCCAGCAAAGGCAGCTCTCCAGCCCCTGATCTGTGAAGTTAGCTGAGTGTGGCTGCCCAGCCTCTGCCCCCACCCTCTGCAGCTGGCTCCATGTGACAGATACTTACTGATCTTGTTAGCATTTGTTAATGCATCCAGTCACATTTGGTGAAGCTGGAGAAAGAAGCTGGAGTGAGCCAATGCTTCTCATGTTACTTATTTGCAAATGGGATTTGGTGACTCTTAGCTGGCCCACCCACATTACAAGCCAGTGCTCCATGGAGCCCCACCCAGAGGCTCCCCTGGGACTCAGATCCTAAGGTGCTTCTATCAAGTTCAGACATTTATTAGCTTGACTAAGGCCCTGAGAGGCGGTATCAGCAAAAGCTTTTGAGCATGAGGTGGATAGACTGGGCTCAGGGTTCAGCTTTACTGCTTGCCAGCTGTCTGACTGTGGGCCAGTTTCTGCATTTTGTCAAGCCTCAGTTTCATTATATGTAGAATGGGTGTAATCAGAGTCTCCCTGTAGGCTTTTAAAATGAGGATTAAATGAGATAATGTATGTGTGTAGCACATAATGTTAATATGACAGTAGTAGCTAATTATAGCTAACCAAAATAACACCTTTAAGATAAGGAAGCCAAAACAGAGAGCCCTCCTCCCCGCATTTAAGGTGTCAAATACTCAGGTCTTGACTAACTTGGATGCCTGAGGGTGAGAAAAAGGTGTGGGATTCTAACACATTTGTGAAGTTCCAGGCTTCTTATTTACTCTGGGACTTTTAAGACACCATAAACAGATCACATGGGGTCCTTGACCACAGAACGGGGAAGAAGGGCTATGAATGAATAAATGAGGAATTCAGGATTCTGCGGAACATCAACTCCTGCCACAGGGCGTTAGCCTGCCTGAGTGACTTGGATGGAGGGACTGCATGAGCTCACAGTCATGTGGGAGTTTTGTCTCCTAAAATTTGGGAACTAGATGGGTCTTAGAGGCTTCCCATTCTAGCCAGCCCCCTTGTATACATGAGCAAACTGTGGTCCCCACATGAAAGGAGATGGGGGCAGCCTGAAGAGTTCCTGCTTGCATTGTGCTTGGATTTATGTTCAAGTCTTTGCTTTGCCCCTGACCCTGAGTGACCCTTCTCTTCCTCTGACCTTGGTTTCTTTCTGTGTTTTGAGGATTGAACCCAGCAGTACTCTACCACTGAACCACATTCCAAGCCCCTTTTATTTTTATTTTGAGACAGGGTCTCAGTTGTAGAGGGTCTTGCTAAATTGCTGAGGCTGGCCTTGGGCTTTTGAGCCTCCTGCCTCAGCCTCTGAGTCACTGGATTTATAGGTGTGTGCCACTCCACTGCACCCAGCTGATTTTATTTTATTTTTTTAGAGTAGTTGAATAAATTAGATGAGGATTTGGGTCTCTTTTGGCTTAAAAACCCTCTGAGAGTCATCACTCATTCATTCATTTGTTCATTCATTGGTCCATTCCACAAGGAACCAAGAGTCCTCTCAACATGATTTGGGTGCTGGGAATACAAAGCCAAGGAAAGGACAGTTCCATTACATATCACTGGGTCTGAGAGTGTGTACAACTGAGAATACTCCCATGAGCAAATAGGACAATGAGGGTGTGTACTAAATGCTGGGGGCCCCAGAAGTAAATTCTTTGAGAAAACAGTGGGAGATATGACAGCAGGACTAACATTTGGATAGGGCTTTCAAGAGTGAGTATGAGTTTGCTCCGGAGAATGGGACTTGCTCTAGGCTCCACAGCAATTTGGTGGCTTACTGCTCAGGACCTTTGAAGTTTGGAGCCAGACTACTTAGGATACAAATCTTACTCCAATTACTAACTATGTAAATTACCAGGCGAGTGATTTAACCTGCCAAACCTCAGTTTCCTTATTTGGGAAATGGAAATAATAATAGGTACCTTCTAGTTGGTGGTGTCAATTTAGTGAGATCATTCATTAAAAATAAAGACTTATGCAGTGCCAAGCACACACTGAGTGCTTGATGTTAGCTATTATCAATGTTATTAATAATATAGATTCTTAACTTCTCAACTTATTAATTACTTCTCAACTTATTAATTATTATTAATCTAGATTCTTAACTTCTTAACTTCTCAACTCCCTAGCTGTGTGATCCTGGGCTTAAACATTCTGAGCTTTGATCTCTATAAAATGACATCAACTGAAAATACCTATTTCGGTTAATGTTGTGGATCAATGAGAATGCTGAGCCCTTAGGTAGTACCTGGTGGTTATTGTTACCATCTTTTGCTGATAGTGCTGGGACCAGAGCCCCCTCAGAGTGATATTGGGGGTGGATTAGCAGGAGTGGTGGTCTGTAGCTCATCTTTGCCTTCTGTGTCCTCCCTTCCCCTGACCAGGTACCAGATCCACACAGGACTCCAGCACTCCATCATCCGCCCCCGCCAGCCCAACTGCCTACCCCTGGACCAGGTGACACTGCCACAGAAGCTGCAGGAGGCAGGTTACTCTACTCACATGGTGGGCAAATGGCACCTGGGCTTTTACCGAAAGGAGTGCCTGCCCACCCGGCGGGGCTTTGACACCTTCCTGGGCTCGCTCACAGGCAACGTGGACTACTATACCTACGACAACTGTGATGGCCCCGGGGTGTGTGGCTTCGACCTGCACGAGGGTGAAAGCGTGGCCTGGGGACTCAGTGGCCAGTACTCCACCATGCTCTATGCCCAGCGCGTCAGCCACATCCTGGCCAGCCACAACCCCCGGCGGCCCCTCTTCCTCTACGTGGCCTTCCAGGCAGTGCACACGCCGCTGCAGTCCCCTCGSGAGTACCTGTACCGCTACCGCAGCATGGGCAACGAGGCTCGGCGGAAGTATGCAGCCATGGTGACCTGCATGGATGAGGCTGTGCGCAACATCACCTGGGCCCTCAAGCGCTATGGCTTCTACAACAACAGTGTCATCATCTTCTCCAGCGATAATGGTGGCCAGACTTTCTCGGGTGGCAGCAACTGGCCACTTCGAGGACGCAAGGGCACTTATTGGGAAGGTGGTGTGCGAGGCTTGGGCTTTGTTCACAGCCCCCTGCTCAAGCGAAAACGCCGGACCAGCCGGGCACTGGTACATATCACCGACTGGTACCCAACTCTAGTGGGTCTGGCTGGTGGCACTGCATCGGCAGCTGATGGGCTAGATGGCTATGATGTGTGGCCGGCCATCAGTGAGGGCCGGGCTTCGCCACGCACAGAGATCCTGCACAACATTGACCCGCTCTACAACCACGCCCGCCACGGCTCCCTGGAGGATGGGTTTGGCATTTGGAACACCGCTGTGCAGGCTGCCATCCGTGTGGGTGAGTGGAAGCTGCTGACGGGAGACCCCGGCAATGGTGACTGGATCCCTCCACAGACGCTGGCTGCCTTCCCAGATAGCTGGTGGAACCTGGAGCGCATGGCCAGCGTCCGCCAGGCTGTGTGGCTCTTCAACATCAGCGCCGACCCTTATGAACGAGAGGACCTAGCTGGCCAGCGGCCTGATGTGGTTCGCACCCTGCTAGCTCGCCTGGCCGACTATAACCGCACCGCCATTCCTGTGCGCTACCCGGCTGAGAATCCCCGGGCTCATCCTGACTTTAATGGGGGTGCTTGGGGGCCCTGGGCCAGTGATGAGGAAGAAGAGGAAGAAGAGGAGAAGGAARGCAGGTCTCGAAGCTTCTCCCGGGGTCGCCGCAAGAAAAAGTGCAAGATTTGCAAGCTTCGATCTTTCTTCCGTAAACTCAACACCAGACTGATGTCCCACCGGATTTGACGGGTGGGGGTGGCAGGGATCTTCAATGCCCTGAATAGACTTACCCCCTTCAGTCTGGCCCTACTCATTCTCAGGGAGAAGCCTGAGGTCAAGCCTATATGTGAAGGGTAGGAGGGTGCAGAGCTGTTCAGCTGAACAGGTTGGGAACATGGCTGGGGTGGGGGTGGGAATAAACCAAACTGGGAGGGCTGGGTCCCAGTCCTGCCTCTTCACTGACTGGCTCTGTGACCTCAGGTGACCTACATGAGCTTTCATCCTCAGTTTCCTCATCTGTAAAATGAGGTCCCGTGACTTTGTGACTGCTATGCACCTTGTACCTGGGGAAATAGTGGGGATCCTGGCTCCCTTGCCCCCTTATGGAAAGGCCTTCCCCTTCACTCTGGGCCTCTGTGGTGCTGCTTGGGTGACGGGCCACAGGGAGGCAACTCCAGGCCAGACCCTAGCTGGGGCATGGTGGGCTGGCTACTCTCTAAAGAGACCCGTGAGAGCTGAGGATAAAGGTGCCAGGTAGGGAGGGCCCTCATGTGGCCTGGCCAGTCCTGGTGCCAGATGGCATTGGGAACCATGCTGGAAAGCTCTTCTTTCTGCTTCTAGGCATCCAGAGAAGTTATCTGGGCCCTAACCTCCTATAGTATCAAAAGTGGCAGAAACAGCTGTGAAAAGAGCCTCAGAACCAGTATTTTCTTTGACCTTGGCAAGGTCCTTTCGCTCTGGGCCTTCCTTTCCCTATCTGCACATGGAGATGCAGCCCTGGCTCTGCCTACCTCCCAGGGCTGCAGAACACTGGCCAAGCTACAGGTCATGGAGGAGCCCATGAACTTGATTAAAGTGCCCTGACACAGAGGCAAAGGATGCAGTGCAGTCTGTGAGCACATGTGTGGGTACAGGTGTGTGTCCATGTGCGTCCTGAGGGCAGGTGTGAGCTCACGGTTGAGTGAGGGAAGGGGAGAGAAGGTGGACAGCTGAGCTAGGGGGCAGAACATCTGGATTCCACTGCATGTCCTCAGGCAAACCCCTGGCCCTCTCTGGGCCTCGGTGTCTCCCTGCACAGCGGATCATCTGAGAGCTCTTTCTACTTGGCCGCAGTGGGCGACCGGTGTGCGCGTCTGGGGGTGTGGCGCCGGGTGTGGGGGCGGGGCGTGGGGTTGCGCAGCCTTCCTGATGCACGGCGCTCGCTCCTCATCGCACACAGCGTTCTGCATATCTCCCTTCAGGTTCCAGTCGGCGCGGAGTGTGTAGGCGAAAGCCCTGCTGTGAATTTTGAAAATAGTTATTTTTGTCGCTGGCAAAGGAGGCCTGTTAGGACTCGTCAGCTTGTGGATGAGCGGGATGGGTGGGGTGGGGTGGGTGCGGTGCGTGGGGTGTTCGGGTGTTGGTTACAGTGCCGCATCCCCACTGCAGTGATTGAGCCCAGTAGTGAGGGTCTGGCCTGCGGCTGCAAGGTGGAAATGACCATCCTGTCCTGGGTCCTTCCTCTCAGCCCTGTTCCGTTTGCCTCTTGTCACTTCCCCATCTGAAACCTTTCCTGGCTTCCCTGATGTTGAGGCCTTCTGCTAGGGCAGGGACCAGGGCTGCAGTGGCCTCCAGAGTCCAGTGACCCCAGCATTTTTGCTTACTCAGGAGGGAAGTTCTGAAGAAGTCACCCATTAGAGTAATGTTGTGGCCTGGTGTATACCATGGGCTGGGCTTTCCACTGTCTGCCCACAATTCAGGATGCTCCAGCTCTGMCAGGTGCTTTGTAACTGTTCTGCACCTTGTACCTGGGGCCATAGTGTTCCGCTTGGTCTTCTGCACGTGCTAGACCTTCCAGAGAGGCACAGCATCAGGGGCCTCCTTGTAGCTCCAGGTTTGTGTGAATTGTATCAATGCCTCTGGTGCCTGCTAAGTTGGCCTTGTGCAAGGTGGCCCAGTCTCCAGCTGTAGCCCCTGTTTCCCTTCCTGGGACCTGTGCCTTTTGGGGCCACAAGTGCCAGACCATAAATGGTCTTTTCTTTTCTCCCCTGGGGATCAAGACCTACTACTCCCTGCTGTTAACTTGGCCCCAAACCATAGAGACAGTTGGGGATGGCGGCTGATTTCTGTTTCTTATGCCCTGAGAAGGAGTCTGGGCCCATGTCTCCATCAGGTTCTCAAACCCAGTCCAGAGTTCATGTAACTCAGAGCCCCGCTCAACCCAGAAACCAGCAAACAGCCCAGGAGCCCCATTTAAGCTTTAGCCTACGATCTGGTGGTCCAGGCCTGAAAACTGGTGGAGGTTCTCTCTCAGGGGTTGTGCCATGAGAGGCTCAGCCTGCTGTGGCCTCTGCTGTGCCCAGCAATCAGCATTCAGCATGTCTAGTGCCCTTCTGCTCTGGCATCCTGTAGTCCCCTGAGTTCTCTCTCAGTGTGCTGGGTCTGCACTCTGCCAGACCCCCATATGGCACTGTTGGCAGGTGCTTACAGCACCCCAATCTCTGTAATAGGCAGGAGCTGGGGTGGGGGACAACCAGAGTTAGTCCTGGCCTTTTCAGTCATACATCTGGGGGAACAAAGCCCAGAGATGCTTGCTAAGGTCCCCAGTTTCTCCCTTGGCTGGACCAGGTGGCAGCAGATCTGTTAGCTAGTGAGTTAGTGCCAGATGGCAGCCTGACCAAGCTGGGTCCTGCCTGTGGAGTCCTGGGATCTGATGACCATTCCCTAGGGAGCCTGGAGAGACCCCCACACTTGCCAGGGCTTTAGCAGTGTTTCCTTCTTGTACTAGGTGCCTACTGGCTTACCCTGGGACATGGGCAATCCGGGGCCTCCTTGTAGCTCCAGGTTTGTGTGAGGGAGGGCAGAGCAGGGTGGGGGAAGGAGCAATGTCTGGTGGCCAGAAATTCCCACTTCTCATGCCTCTAACAATGATGAGAGGGCAGCCTCCCCTTTCTGGGCCTTGGTCCCCCATTGGTTAGGGACATGTACTCTCTAGTGCAAGCCTAATAACCCAGGGCAGGGGTGCAGATATCACAAAGACTTGCGTTTGAACCCAGCTGCATGGCCCTGGGTGGGTAAGCAGCACTACATCTGTGCAAAATGGGCATGATTGCACCTGTCCCAGGCGATGCGTGATGTCAGGGACAGATGTTACTGTGCTGAGTGCTTACCTCAGGGCCTGGCTCTGTGGTGAGAATAACTACTTTCCAGGTCCCTGGAATCAATAAATGAAGATTTTATCTCCATCCTTTTCCCACTGAGGAAAAACTCTGCTGCCAGCTCTCCAGGACTGGAAAACTTGGGTCCCCTCACTGCAGGTCATGCTGTGCAGTCCTTGGCTCTGCAGCCACTGTCCTCTGTCCCATGGCTCCCTGCTTCACTCTTCCCTGCAAGGAAGGCTTTTATGCAGGATGCTTTGGGGGACAGTGCTRCTCTGTGACACTTGACTTCCTTCTGTGCTCAGCTTTGGCTTTGCTTGCTGCAATGAATTAGCCCAATCACCCTCCATCCAGACCCTTGATAGGATCATTTCTCTCCTGGCCCACTTTCCACTGATTCTGCCCCACACTTGCTGCCCTTAGTGGGACAGGCCCCACGGGGACCCTTCAGACGGCACGTTTTCCGTGGTGCCTGCTCAGGCCCTGTAGGACCCTGCAACACTTGGGCATATCATGCATGTGAGCATGTGGGTGGACTGTGGGAGGTGGGATTTGAGTTGGCTATTACAGTGTCCCTGGGGCTCCCACTGCCTGCCCAGGAACCAGCTCCCGTCTCCTTTTATTCTTCCCATCAGTGTGGGGCACTGCTTGTGTTCACAGCCAATCCCTATCCTGGCTTGTCGGTGCTGTGCTCAGCAACTTCCAGGGCTCCCACCGCTGGCCACAAGCCCATGGCACACAGGCCTGCTCTTGAATGCCACATGCATGTTGCAGATGGGGGCACACGTGCTGGCTCTCGTGCCTGCCATGGCCCCGGGGAGTGGGGAGTCTGGCAGGAACAATCCCCCTGATGCAATCATCGGCTCTTTCTCTCAGCGCCACAGAGGCATGGCTGGCTCCTCGCTGCCCGCCACCACCGGGCACAGCTGCCAGCCTTTCGGGCACAGAGGAAGCAGTGAATTAGCGGTCATGCCTCCTTGGCAGATTGGCAGTTGCATTCAGTATGGGGGTGCCTGTGGGAGGCAGTGCCCATACCCCTGAGCTGGGTTCTAGAAGGTTCAGAGGGGCATGTATGCATGTGTGTTAGAAAGGCTCACCAAGGAAGCCTCTTCCTCCTCTCCCTCCCCTTCCTCCTCTCTGTCTTGCCCAGACATTCCTCCATCACCATCAGATGCATCCTGCAGCCTGGGAACTGCCCCTCCCCCCATACTGCATACATAGGAGACAAAGTGACAGAGACTAAGACACAGAAAGGAAGGGAGACAGAAGCTAGAACAGAAGTGGAAAGGAATGGGAAAGACGGGAAGAATGGGGAAGGAAGGATGGAGAAAAAGGCAAGAAAGAGAGGACAAAGGAGAGTGGAAAGTAGAGATGGAAGCTGGGAGTGGAGTGGGGTGCATTGGCCCTGCACCTTGAAGGCACATAGGCCACCCCCATAGTCCCTGTCAGAGACAAGGAGCCAGTTGGCCCTTCTGGGCTACCTGCAGCCCTTCACATCGTCCTCTGAATTACTGCAAGCTCCTCTAGGGACCTGATGTGGGGACCTCCCCCATGTGCTCTGCTGGATTCTGAGTTCTGTTTCATCAGTGGGAGGGGGAGAAGCAGCAGAGTGGTCAGCCAGCCCCAGGCCAAGCAGGACCTTTGTTCAGAACACTAGATATCCATTAATAGGCTTTCTGCACCCTTACCTTTTGTTCTACTAATTTTTTTTTCAGTACTGGGGATTGAGCCTAGAGCCGTATGCATGCTAGGCAAGTGCTCTACCTCTGAGCTACACCCCCCCCTTCTTGTTTTACCTTTGGTTTTGTTTGTTTTTACTAATTTTCAAAGCAGAGATGCCATTTGGTTGGCAACTGATGAGCTGGAGGTCCTAGGGACTTTTTCTCCTAGCCTAGTCTTCTAATCCACAGGAAGTGTTGCAGATGTGAGACCTGGGCAAGGTGATGTCCAAATCATGAGCTAAACTCCTGAGGGGACTCAAGAGAACAGCTCCCCAACATGCC